AATGGGATTTGGACCCAGATGAACCTGTACAGCACAAATGGTTGTAGAATATGGATGGGGGGATAGATGGATGGATAGGATGGATGGATGGGTGGATGGATGGATGGATGGATGGATGGGATATCTTATGTGACTGTACAACATAAACTCAAGGTATCACATCCTAAGGAATGACCAGAAACTTCCTTTTATTTCTATTACCTCAAGCACAAAAACTGTGGGGCAGCTCTCTCTCTCTCACACACACACACATGCACGCACCTCAAGGTTCAGTTTTCCTTGTCCAATTATTTTTCCATCCCTGCCCTGAAACCAAGGCAAAGGTCAGGCTCTGCGCTCTACTTGATTGCTCACAAAAATAAACTTTTATTTACCCCACCATAAAGCAAACAGCATTTCAACCCCCAAGGATCTGCATCAGGTTTCCCCCCCATCCCCACACTGCCCACTTATATTTTTTTCAGTTGTTTACACATTTCCTGCATTCCCCTAAGTTTCCATTTATAAATCTCACTATTTGCAAAACACTACACACAGTAAGCGCATTGTTAAAAAAGACAATCTGTTGTGTCATTCAAAACGTTGCACTTATTTACCAACTGGCCAGGTTCAGTCCTTTAAAACACCAATAGCTTAATTGCTGACTTACAAACCAGTGCTTGAGCAATAAATAGCCAATAGGCCAGGGGGCCTGGGTCACAAAGCGAGATTTGTTGGTTAGCTAGGTCCCCCAGTTTAAATGGACTTCATCATCCATTCACTTGCATTTAGTCATAGTTTGAAAGTTCAGGTTTGCATGTTCTCCCCATGTCGTCGTGGGGTTTCCTCCGGGTCCCCCCACAGTCCAAAGACATGCTGAGGCTAATTGGAGTTACTAAATTGCCCATAGGTGTGCATGTGTGAGTGAATGGTGTGTGAGTGTGCCCTGCGATGGGCTGGCCCCCCATCCAGGGTTGTTCCCTGCCTCGTGCCCGTTGCTTCCGGGATAGGCTCCGGACCCCCCGCGACCCAGTAGGATAAGCGGGTTGGACAATGGATGGATGGATGGAAAGTTCATGTCCAGAAAGTACAAATCCAGACCAGGGTTTTGATTCAACCAACCAGTTTAGTACTCTGTGAATGTGACTCTTTATACGCAACTGCTTGGTTGAAACAAAACCCTGGTCTGGATTTGTACTTTCTCGGTCTGAACTTTACATCTCTGCATTTAGTGCACACTAACAGAAATCTGAGAAGATATCTTGCCTACCCAAAAATCCAGCCTTGTTATACAAGCCAAAGGTCTTCTGCTTAGGTAAACAATGGAAGCCAGTGTCATTGCAAGAGCCAGAGGGAGAGTGAGAATGAGAGGAAGAGGTTAAACCGACACAAAGAGAATAATCTAAATCCAGACCATGGGAAGTTGGAATTTCATGGCTGCTCTTATCATCCCCACATTTTTAAAAGAGATCCGGAAAGTATCAAACTCTCTATCCTTCGCTAATATACCTTAATGTGTACAGTAGTGCTACTGATCACTATATCCATGGTACTCATTGATGCTTACTCAATATTACTGCAATCACGTCGTTCCAGATTGCAAAAAAAAAAAACAAACATTCTTGTACCCTAACCACTTGCATCATGTTTTTTAGATCTTCTACAGAACCTCTAAGGGTGGACGACATGAGCTCTTCACATCACGATCGCGAACACTGCGCAGACAAACAAGAGTATTTGTCTGAGACAGTTCCAAAACCATATTTTGGTACAGAGCAACATATTTACAAACATCAGCCAGGTGAGCTTGTCAACACTGGCCCGTGTCCTGCAGTGCAAATACAGCCGTACAAAGTAGCAATACAAGGAGCCATTTGAACAGATCTCAAAGAGGCTCAAAGACTGTGCTATGAATATGTACAAGTACGCCATACTATATCAACTAACTATACTCTATCAGTACTAAATAGGCATAGGACTGTAATCCAGTGCATAGTGCTACATCAAATTGAGTGATCTAGATGTGGATCTATGTGATGTGGAGTCCCCGTAGGACAGGACATGCCCCTCCATGTTAGGTTATAGCTTCTCACAGAACATTTTTTGTTTATATAGCACAGTATCCAACAAACAGAAGAATAGTTTTGGCCCAGTATATTTGTGTGATCATATATACATGTAAGTTGATATACATACCACAGCAGTCTTTTACACAAGGCGACTGTGCATTGTGTAAGTGTAACACTGAAAATGTAGTGTGTTGTTGTACATTGAGCAAGTCAGCTTGGGTTGGTTTCAGGGTTACAGATGTATTTGTAAGGTCTGTGTGTCATTCTGATACGATTTTCAGAACATTTTTATTTCAGTGTTTTAGCTTTCAATTTTTGTTTGTGTTCAGCGTCTTGCGAAAACAAGCCATTATTGAGGAAAACATGTGCAAATAGCAGTGGAAAACTTTAAGCCCAGCCCCTAGGAACGACAGTGTTATGGCACCACCCAGAGGCTTGCAGTGGTATGACAGGGACACACTTAATCAGCGAGCTGGCATAATTTGGGGTGGCACAAACAGTTTGCCTGCAAATTTTCAAAGCTTGCTTGATGTTTTTCACCCCTTGTTACGTACGGTTGCCGAGATGCCACAGCTTGCGACAGACCTCGGCACGGCAGACTGTCACTTGGCAAGAGCCACTCATCCTTGTGCTGATGAAAACGTCTGTTTTCTTGGCACAAAAACCGAGTGCTTTTGATTACACAGCTGGTCACAGTTCCACTTAGGGCCCAAGCAAACATGGCCGTACAATTGATTTATGCAGGCTGTAATAATTGAAAGCGACAGCTGTCCCTTATGTCAATGTAACACGAGTATTAAGATTATTAGATAAACATCAGCCTGGAAAGAATAAAAATAAAAATGACATAAACCTCTGCAGACTTTAATCAATCCTGAAAGTTAATTCATATGCATATTTAATATTTCAAATTTGCTTTTAAGAAAGCTTCCCATAATAGAAACAGTTTCATCTCAGATTCCCTTTTCTGTACATATACTAAACTCTAAAGACCAGAGCATGAGTGACACATCATGTAATTCATGTATGTAGAAAGAGGTCAAAACGAAGACTGAGCTGTCGATTCCTGTTCCGTTCAGCATCACCCGGCCTGCCTTTACCTGGCATGATAACAGCAAGATGCACGACTGCGAACGGGCACAGCATAGTCAAGATCAGAGAGCGACTTCAGTCTCGGGATGAAGCTGGCTTCCGTTTCAGCCAGCGAGTGCTGAAAGGTTCCCGGAAAACTACGCGTATTGCAGCCCACCCCCTCAGTTCAGTCAGCAGTCTACGCTGCCAAATCCCTCTCCCTGAAAACCACCAGAGGCAACTCAAAAAAAAAAAATGAATCGGCCAGACTAGTTGAACCTTTGGCATCGACAACCTAGAGACAACCTCAACAAATAATAGATTAATTAGCTCCTTGGGACCACCACCAAAGGATGCAGATCCACCACACGCTGCTAAAATAATACTGAATTAAAACAAGAACACAAAACATCACCCCGTTTGAGGCCTTAGTAGCTCCCACCTTGTTAGGAGGGGACTCATCTGACATCATTTGGGGCGGGGCTATAAGGTCACATGTCAGGGGGTGTGGTCACAACTCCACTAAGTCCATCCTACCGCACCAGACCAACCTAGCCCAGTAGTTCATTGTAAACTAGAACATTCAGCATACTGTCTGCCATCTGCCACATACCTTGTTAGCATGCGGTGTCCTTACGCTCTCTGGCTATTAATGCACTATATCTAATACAGTTTATTGCCTTTGAGAAACAGCACTGGTGTTATTAACACGGAAGCCTGTCTCTTTGAATCAGGTAATAAAACCTTTCTGTAACAGATACCATTAGAGTTGATGAAACACAGACAGGCTTCGGAGTACACAGGGAACACAGGCGGAAAAGATTATTTCAGCTGATTACGGTGATGGCAGAGTCAAAAAAAACTAACTACGGTGACTGTACAATGTGACAAGAATGCCACCCATACAACATGTCCGTTAAGGTCAATTAAAAGCAACGTGACAGTGAGGTGTCTTACTGGGAACATTAGCTGAAGTCTAATCACACCAGATGGACTGCAAACTGTCCTCGTTGGTTCAGTCCATACTGGATGACAGTAACTGCACAGAACGAGATGACAAACCAGTTAAAGAGAAGCTGGCCAGAACTGCTCAATCTGCACTTCTGTGGTCTTCAGACACAGGCACTCTGACTGACCTGTTTTCCATTAAGAAGGTTCTAGAAGAAACAGCTTTTAATAAAAGCCCAAGAAACTACTTTGCATAATGAGCATAAGTGCGTGGGACGGTATCTTCCCATGTGAAGTCTCCAATCATCTGCTTCATTTTGCCATCTCACTATTTGAAAAGCGGGGATAATGGAATCCCATATTTCACAATATCCTTGCGAAATGGAAAACCCTCACTCTCCTTTAAAGGCTGGATATCTGAGACTCTGCTTAACCTACCATTTCAGCTCTGAATAATACACAGCTTCTCCTGCATGAGAAAGAACCAAAACCAGAGGATTATACCTAGAAATGAATGCAGAGAGCACAGTCTTTGTGAGAAGGAAATAGAAAATATGCAAATTCACATATTTACCGTATGTGACTAAGGAAGGTAAAAGTGTTAGCTTTGTGATGTATTTAGGCCTCAGTGAGGCAGCGTACTCATAATATTCTAATACATGTAATAATACTGCTTGGTAAAGTATGAAAATACAGGAACACAAAGTACTTGCAGTTATTTAGGTAAGAAAGGCTTGCATGACAATGTAAAAGCTGAATATGCACGTTTATGGGTATAACAGTGATTATGGTTTGTTTTCCACTTTGTGTGCATGCTAATGTAAGTTAATAAATCACAAATAAAAAAAGCAAAAAACTACACACAGATGTCTTCATGATTTTAATTACTACTGCTGTAAAATATTTACAGGACATAAACGTAATTGTGCAGAGGATCACGGCAACAAATTAAGCCAAGTATAAACACACAAAAAAAAAAAGTTAGACAAAGTCGAGTTCCACGCTATAGATGGCCTGGCTGCCCAGGCAAATAAACCGTCCATGGGTTCGCCTCCCAGGGTTGAACAACATCACCCAATGACAGCCTAGGTCCCACCTCCGGGGGCTCAACATCACCACCCAATGACAGCCAAGGTCCCGCCTCCCAAGGAGGGGTACAGTCAAGTACAGGTCTGCTTCTTCACTTCATTAGCCTTCATCAAAGCCTTGATGGCACGGGCCCTCATCTCCAGCTCTAGAAGCTCCAGCTGTTGGGCTGAGGGCAGGGCTGCCTTAGGGGGTGGAGTTACCTGGGGAGTGACCCCAGAAGACACACCCACCGTCGGTAAAGGGGGTGCAGGGGTGGCCACCTCGGCTGGAGGCTGCTGGTCTGCGAGCTGCTCCCGTCCAGGGATGACTCCCAGGGCCAAGATCTCACTCACGCTCTTCTCGATGTCCTTCTGCAGCTCCCTCTTGGAATCCACAGACTTCGGCACTTCCGCCGGCTTCACTTGGTCTGGACCGGCCGCTGCCTGGACCGCCCTCTCCGTCACCTCCTCCTTGGGCCCTTCGATGTCGCTGTCGTATGTGTCGGCATTGATGCTCAGGACGTCGCTCTCCTCTCCAGAGCCACCGCCTTACACACAACAGTAGGAAAACAATGACACAAAAGGCAAGAGCCATGTACCTGTTCAAATCCCAGGTCCCAAGCTTTCACCCTTAAGGTTAAGTATTAACTGGAATTACACCAGAACAACATCCTTTTAAAAGAAACAGCTTCCAATAAAAGAACTGACTAATAAATGCTATAATACTACTACATCTAATACTAATAATTATTATTATTACAATAATTATTAAGAATAAGCACTAGAGAAGGGACTTGAAATAGGCATTTATTCTGAAACTCAGAAGTATATGACATATAAGATATTTCACTCTTACCTTGCTTGAGATCTTCCATTTCGACATTCTCCTTCAGAGACGAAGTGGAGTCGACGTTGTTGTCCTGCCTGTGCCACACAAAGACATGTGCAATCAGGAACACAGACATGGGCTGAGCACAGGCCCACTCTCTCATCCTCTGACATTTTTCTTGAGAGATGCTTTAAGGACACCATTTCTGGGGGGGAGGGGGTACTTTGCTTTTCATCAGGTACTTTAACCTCCTGTGACCCGACCTATTCATTTATGTCCATTGTAGTGGACATTGTATTTTTGCATTTATTTTTTCACTGACGTATTTATTCTTGTTGTGCACTAAAGAGGACATGCTGTGAAATTAAAATAAGAATAAATGTGAAAAAATCTAATTGCAAGATGTCTTATTTCCTCCAAAGACAAATAACCTACAATTGAAGGACACTTTTTTCCCTTGGGTCTCAGGAGGTTAAAATAAACATCCAGCTGTAGGACAGACCGACAAATTCAGAGATGTTCCCGACTCAAAAATAGAAAAATGGGAAGAATCTTGTCACAAGAGTTTTACAACTGAAGCACTTTTCACTCACTGGCTGTCAGTCTCTGACTTTTTTTTTTTTGTTCCGTCCTCTTCAGCGTCTGAAGAGCCAGATACTTCTTCACCTGTTTTAAATAAGAAGAATAAAAACAGTGAAATTAAAGAAACACTAAACAAAAACAATAAATAACATGAGTGCTGAGATGTGGCACCTTCCAGGATCTGAAGAAGATTACTCTGTGAAAGCTGCTTCAGCTGCTCCCAGCAGAGGTTCTTGATCTCAGCAAAAGTGCAGCTCTGCGAATTACAGTAAAGTGTTGCTTGTGACACCGAACCAAAGCTTATGAGCACCTGAAGGACAAGCAGTTCCTTTACACGGGCAGCCATTTGGCCAATTCTATCCGAATAAAGACTACTATGCGCATTTTTTTTCTTTTTTTTTAAAAAAAAAACGTCCGTCGTGAAATGGTGTGACAGCAGACAGACCTTCAGCTCATCTGGTAGCATCTTCTTGAGTTTGTTCTCCCCCAACACTCGGAGGCACTGCTCCAGCATCTCCTGCCTGTCCGTCAGGTAGGCGCTGATGGGCTTGAAGGACACACTCAGGTCTAAGCCACCCTCCTCGATGTCACTGGGCTCCTCTGTCCCCTGCTGCTCATTGTCCTCCTTGCAATCGGGCTGGTTGTTGAGACACTATGCTGAAGCGCTGACAATGCCTGATTAGGTTCCCACTAAGCATTGCCACACTCACGCAAAAATTCGTACAATTACCGCTGGTAAATGACCCTCGTAAGACATACTTTTGAATGATGAGCTTTATACTATAACCGAAATTGCAAACAAGTTGAGGGTAAACTAGTTAATTAACCAGGCTTAAACAGAGCTAGATTTACGTCACTAGGGTGCCTAAATTGTTAGAAGTCTGCAACGAAAACTAGTTTTATGCAGCAATAGCAGGGCATATTCACCTCCATGCTCGATTCCGTACTTCTGCGCTTTCGGTCTCCGTCATGGCGACCCTCCGAATGGGAATGTTTCCTCTTCTTCTCTTTTGCAGACTTTTTGCCTGGCATCGATGCTGGTAACCAGTAACCCTTTGCCGCGACGCTGCTGTTTTATGAACAGCTGATAGTTTAACTGTCACTAATTAAACTTTCATAACATGCATATGTCGATACGGCAAGTAAGCGAAATATGAAGACTTTAGAGAAACCCTAAATTAGACAGAGAGCAACTTACCTTCAGTAAAACGAAAGTAGAAACCACGAACTTACTTACTCTTCTGCCGTGTCGCATATTTTCTACGTCACTCCACGCAGGGATACACGCGACCTCACACGTGACTCGAAGGCTGCCTTCAAAATTGGAGTTCGTTCGACTGATATAGGGTTCTCCTTTTTGACTGACTTCTCCCTCTTTTTGGGCACCTAAAATGCCTGAAATTTACGAAATTCCTCTTTGTTTCATGCTGACATTTGCTTTATACAGTCAGAATATTTTCTGTACGCATATTTGCGTTGCTTTGACGCCTCTCTTTGCGTGCTGTCCCCGGCAAAATGTGGTCACCCTAACTAAAAGATTTATACCCAGGGAGTATTTTACGTCACTTAAACTGATTATATATTTATGTATAACGAAAACAATATAGATTTCTAATACATATTTACATTTCATTATAATTATTATTTCATTCGTTATTAGCCAAACACTCTAAGACATTTGTACATCAGTACACTAGTCTAGTGGGGGGGAGAAACAGGGTGCTACTTGAAATTAGCAGTAGGATCAACCGTGTGCGACCGATCTGCGTTAAATTGTAAATGCTCGTAGCATTAAAATGATCTCCGTGTTACACCTCAGTTACCAGCTCGTTTCTTTGTCAGATTAATTAGAAAAAGGTTTAACCCCCAAATGGTCACGTGACATACGTCAGTGCTGCTACCCGAAAATGGTGTAGGTATTTGTTGGAGGCACTGGCGAATATAGGGACACTGGGGACCCTAAGCAAATAAATAAATAATAGACATCATTGGGGCCCTCCAACTAGCCCCCCCTTACCTTGGTAACATTTATGACCATTTTAGTGTGAAGTCTAAATCAATAATATCAACCAAAAGAACTTCATAAACACCTTTCCTTTATTTTCACATTACTGTTAAGAACTGAATACTCAGATACTCTCAGCTCCCATTGCCTGCCTTGCCTGTTCTGTCCCTATGCTTCTGGTAGGATGATATTTTATCCAAATGTCATTGCGTGTGTACGTGTGACTCTGGTGTAATGGCAGACAAGATGCCACGGTGTGTTCCCTGATTGGGGGACTCGACTCAGCTAAAATAATCTTCTTAATAAAAATATGAGCATTCTTTTTTCTACCTGCAATTACACATTTTCTTCTTGTAATTTCACTATTGTATGTTTAATATTGCCACTATTTGCAGCTAATTTCGCCACAGGAATCAAAATTCTATCTGTTTAAATTTATTGTCATAAAGTGAGCCTCTGCCTAACTGTAATGTTCAGCCACTAGATGTGCATTATTTATTATTTAAACAAATTGTCTCAAACCCCTCACTGTTCGACCTGATGTCCTGAATCCCATAATGCACCACGAGTGTTCTTTGTGAAACCCATGGGATGTCATATTGAGGACAGACTGATCGTCGCACAGCGTGTCGCTGCCACTGGGCCAACAACTGGTCCTGCAGTGTAGCCAGCAGAAGTCCAAGAGGTCAAGCTGAGCCAGAACCTGTCATGCTGAAGACCTTTTGTAATTCGCAATCTGTGCCAAATATGTATTGGTTCGCCTCCTACTGGACAGATCAAAATACTATTTGAATGAATATAAGTTCAATACAATATAATTATATTGTAAAGTTATCTTTGGAAATGTGGCTTGTGTTAGTCATATCAATGTGTAATAATTATTCATTACAAATTTTTTTATTTATTCGTTTGTTTGGTTTTGTATGTGTAGCTTAGGGACTTGTTTCATGAAGCAGGATTTCTTGCTTATCCAGATAACTTGTTGGACATAAGGTAGTCTGGGCTAAATGTTGGTGAACGAAGATAAATTCTATTTAGCCCAGACTATCTCAAATCCAACAAGTTATCCAGCTAAACAAGAAATCATGCTTGGTGAAACAGGCCTCAGTTTGGCATAGCCTGTAATGAATGACTGGTTAGTCTCTCTCACCGTGCACCCCCTGGGAGAAATAGCCTACGGTTGCTTATGAGCCGTGCAATGAGACATAGACCCTTAAAAGCTATAGAGGAATCAGGTGTTTTGAGCGGGTCAGGGAGGCTCATGTTACTCTGTTGTTTCAACTTGGATAGTACTGGCGATGGACAAGCAGCAGGTGGCATCACGGTTAAGGTTCCTGGCCGTGGCACTGCCGGTTTGTATGCCAAAATACAAAAATATGCTGTAGTTAATGAGACCTCCTCAGCTGAGAGACCAACCTGTGGCTTAAATATTAAATCAGAGCACAGTTTGGAGGCTTCATGACATCTTTTGATTACTAACCATATATTTATGTATTCAGATTTGAATGAATATTGCAATAGAGTATGAAATCCAAGGGAGAGAATCTCACTTTTTATCTTTTTTTTTTCTTTGTCTAAGAACCTGACTGCAAATAAGTCCTTGGGAACCTGGCTAATACTGTAATGGGGGAAATGATGCATCTACTGTAAAAGCTTGCAGTGGTGTAAAAACAATAATGGTGTAAAAATAATAATCCTTAATGTAATTGGACTAAGCCTAACCACGTTTAGTCCACTTACATGTCATATTGCATTTTTGATAGAGCATGTTTGCAATGCAAATCCCAAAGCTCCTGGGATTGTTATAACCTTGACCAATCAGAGCCAAAAATTAGAAGGTAACAGAAAGCAAGTTACAGTAACAATGTTTCCCACTCCTCTGCATGGTTTCCGATAATAAAGCCACTTTTAAGCGTGGAAGAACCCAAATGGGAAATGCAGCACAGAGTCAAGCAAATGCACTTATACAATTAAGATAAGGCTCAGGCAATTCTGTAGGGACTATAGATAAAATAGAATGCAACACAGTGTAAGTCCTGTTCCCCACCTCTGTATGTTCCTTTGTAGGATTTGTAAGGTGTTTTCTGGTGTTTGAGAACCTTCCAAAAAATAAAAACAAATGCTGACTGAGAGGAGGAAACATGTCATGTAAGTGGCCTCTGTGTTTGCATTTCTTCCAGCCAATCAAAGCCAATGTGGCTCCCTAATCAAGCATTCCCGTGCCCCAGAGAAAGTGCAATAGGCTTGCTAGGTCAGTGCCACCTCAGCAGGGTTGACTGACACTGCTTCCAATTGATTTTAAGGATTTGTACTTTAAAGTTGTTAGGTAGTAGGTGCTAAGATAGGCACTTTAAGGGTTGCTGTAAGGTTTTTATGCATTTATTTTGGGTTGTGTTAGTAGAACAAGAGCCAAAGATTATCTGTGCAGCTTTCATTGCTCGGTAATGTATGAAAAAAAAATGTACTAGATGTAACTGGAGGGTGGGGGTGGATGTACTGTTAGTGACAGAATGATGTCATCCTCGGTGTTGATTCCCCTTACGGCGTGTGGGCGTGCCAGACATATCGCTTTGCCCTCAGGTACCAACAGGCGTGGGCTCACGCGGAGCCGAGGCAACCTGACACCTCCGCCGCCCGGCCCACCGAAGCGGAAAAGTGGAGCGAGCGGAAAAGCGGGACGCCCCGCCGGGGACTAGGCGGCGAGATCCGGGGCGCAGAGCCTCACCGATCTGCGCCGAGCAGACCGCGCAGCCAAAGGGCTCGGCTCGCGGTCGGCGCGCGCTTCGCCGCGCGCCACCTGCAGCGGGAGCAGATGGGCGGCGCGCCGCCGAAACGCCCGAGGGCGCCTCGTGATGGAGACAGCGCGCGGAGCTGTTGTTTTATAAGCACGAGGACAGTCTTCCGGAAGATACTCGGCATGCCTGACGAGAGCGCCATGTATAATTAACTTCTTTCCGTGCTGCCACACCTTCTTCCGCCCCCATCTCCTTTATCTTTTTCCCGTCCGCATGCATCAAGCCTGAAATCTCGAGGTATTACTAGCGTATATGAAATAAAAAATAATTAGGAAATTCAATAACGCATTCAATCCAGACAGAAGGGATAATGACCGGCATTATAATCTGTTGTACGAAGGAGGGTCATGCGCCTGGGGTTGTTTGCGTTGATTTGTGTGAAATGATGTGTTCCGTTTCGCTTACCAGCCCCAAGTGCTGTCACAGTCTGCTCTCTGCAGTTTCTTTTAAATCTAGCCCCATTTTCGAGATTATTTCGATTATTATTATTATTGTTTTGTCTATTTTATGTGTACATTTTGTTAAAGCCTGTCCTTGCTCCACCCCACCATTCCTAGATATGACTACCACATGCCAGAATAAGCTGTCAGTCTGTGTTGTCCGCGTGTTATGTGATTCTGATGTCCTTCCTGACCATTGGGACTGTTTCGCTGCTGTTTTATAGCGTTATGTTGGTGTTATGGATGGAGAAACGAGTTGTGCAGTATGGAGGTGTCATGATTAGATTTGCTTCTTATATTCTTCACGAGTTCCGATAATGTTAGTAGGATTTGTGCTATGGGTAATTGTTGGTAGTGCTGACTGAGACAAATTAAACCGAATGGTTTTTATAGCAATTTTCCATCTTCCCAGTTTCATTTTTAGGCTTATTGTTATACTATGGAGTTTGGAACTCCAGGCATTTGCAAATATTTGGTGAATTGCAGAGATTATTTTAATGGCTCATCTTTGACAATGGTGGTATTTGGGAGGGAGGGGAGCTGGTAGTAGTGGTGGAGCTGGGGGGTGCTGCAGTTGGCCAGCAGAAGGCATACTCCCACACTTAATTAATTAAGGAGTTGGAAAAGTAAGGACCCCTCGATGAAGCAGTACCTCAACACCCTACATTGATCCCCCAGCCATCATCCATATAATCATCCACAAATGTCATATAATGGTCAATTATAAGTGCCCGCCCAAAATAAAGATACAGTATGGTGGACCAATCACAAGACCTGATTATGTCCATGTGGCCTAAGTGAGGCGTTGCGACTCATATAGTAGCTACAGTAGCATGTGATGTCGATTTACTCTATGAAGCAGAACACATACCATGGTGCCACAATGGCCTAAGCTTCCTCTTCAGTAACTCCAGGTCCAAATGATCTTTGGAAGAGTTAGCAGTTGGAGAAAGAAGCAGAGTTTCCTCATTTTACGTCCACATAGCCTGAGGTACCACAACTGTGGTTCTATTTCTCGCTCTGTCTGCATTTTATCAAACTGGTGCCAT